TATCATGTTAGACGCGAGAGAGCCAAGAACCAGCAAGACTGGATAGCCACAAGGTAGAGCAGAAGCAGGAACGTGTGTTCTGGAACGTTCATGGCTGATGTAACCCGAGCAGGAAAGGGGAGTGGGAGGGAAAAGTGGAAAAGAAGACCTGAAAGCCTGCCTGGAAAGTTTAGACTTGCGTCTTCCTGTAAGCGATAGGGAGTCATCACGTATTTTTCAAGCAAGAGAGGAAAACGTTTTTTCTCCTCCATGTTTTGGAAAGTTAACCCTGGTGGCAACATAAAGAGCAGACCCAAGGAGGACCAGAATGAGAGGGAAAGATCAGTTAGGCGGTCCTGGGACCTAAAATCTAAGATGGTAATGGTGGAAATGGAAAGGAAAGGCACAAGCTGAGAGGCATTTTGGAATAAAAGCAATAGTAGCACTTGATTGGATATGTGAGATGAGGGAGGAGAGGAGTCAAAGATGACTTGGAGGTTTCTAGCCTCAGTGACTGGAAGGGTAGCACCTCCACTAACTGAAATAGGTAATAAAATTTAAAAAATAAGAGAAGCAGATTTTGGAAAGACAATAGTTTAATGGGGGGGGGGGGGAGCAGATAGTTAAATTTTTAACATGTGGAGTTTGAGTTGCAAGAAGAATATCCACGTGGAAATAATTCCCAGTAGACAGTAGGCAATAAGGATTGTGGTGTTCAGAAAAGAAATAGAGATGAGACCCAAAGAGTTTATAGTGAAATTAGGCAGATAAGCTATCACTTTGGAAGGGATTACAGAAGTAAGAAGGTTGAAGGACAGAATCTTGCAGAACTGAGTTCTTTTAGACTGAAAAAGGGAAGGCTTATGGGAGCTGGGTAGCTGATTTAAAATATGCCATAGAAGAGGAAATAGGCCTATTCCTATTGCTCCTGAGAGTTGAAGAAAAGAGAATGAGGTAATGAGAGTGTGGCTGTGGGGAAAGGGAGAGGTAGGGCCAATTTCAAGTAAAAATAACTCGCGTTTTTATGATATCTTGGAAAGGGTAAGCATTCCTCACAAGGATTGTTCAACCTGTCCCAGATGCTGTGAGAAGGTTCCTGTGTGGTGAGGTAATGAACAAGATTACCTCTTAGGTTCCAACTAGTTTTAAGACTGGTTTCAAGTACATGAAAGCCCTTTATAACAGAAGGTGGTAGGAGTTAAGTTTTATTTTCAGTCTGTGGAATGGGTGTTTGCAATCTAGCTAAATCCCATCTCTTCGTGATTTCCAAACATATATTTAAGATCTTTATGACCAGGACTAGATGAGCTTAAAATGATCACATCTGGCCCTGGTCAGTGTTGCTCAGTGGTTAGAGCATTGGCATAGGACCCAAGGGTCTCGGATTCAATTCCTGGTCAAGGTCTCTATAGATTTCCCTATTCATATAAATGGAATCATACAATATATAGTCCTTTGTGACTGGCTTTTCTCTCTTAGCATAATGTTTTCAAGGTTAATCCATGTGATAGCATATATTAATATTTCATTCTTCTAATTGCTGAATTCTATTATATGGATATACCACATTTTATTTATCCATTTGTCAGTTGATAAATATTTGGGTTGTTTCTACTTTTTTGGCTATTGTGAAAAATACTGCTACAACATTCATATATCAGTTTTTGTATGTATATATATTTTCAATTTTCTTGGATATATATCCGGAGGAATTGCTAAGTCATATAGTAATTTTTTGTTTATCCTTTTAGAAACTGCCAAACAGTTTTCAAACACAGCAGCAAGATTTTACATTTTTACCAGTAGTGCCTGAGGGTTTCAGTTTCTCTGAATCCTTACCAACCCTTGTTAGTGTCTTTTCTTTATAGCAATAGTAAATTGTGAGTGTCAAATGGTATCTCATTATGGTCTTGATTGATGAAAGAGTTTAGAAAACACCTCTCCAAGATGTGCTACTTGGCATGTGGATTATTTTGAGCTGAAGGCAATCAAGAGAAAATTTTACCTATCCCTTAAGGCAGTGGTTCTCAACCTTTCTAATGCCGCGACCCTTTAATACAGTTCCTCATGTTGTGGTGACCCCCAACCATAAAATTATTTTTGTTGCTACTTCATAACTGTGATTTTGCTACTGTTATGAATCACCATCGGAAATATGTGTTTTTCGATGGTCTCAGGTGACCCCTATGAAAGGGTCCTTCGACCCTCAAAGGGATCGCAACCCACAGGTTGAGAACTGCTGCCTTAAGGAATTTAAATTTGGGGACTTGCCCATAATAAGAGTTGTCACCAGAAATAACTATTTCATGACCTATCTACAAGGCATGGAAAACATCTAATTACTAAACATCTGCTCTTTTTATCATCCTGCAAATGACCTACCTTTTCTCTGAAACCTCAGGTTCCTGACCTCATTACTGACCTCAGGGTGTCATATATACCTCATTTTACCTTTCTGATTCTGAATCTCTCATGTAATGGGGTCTATGACTCTCCCATGTATGTAGGGGTTCTCACATGTGCATATATAATTAAACTTGGTTATTTTCTCTTGTTAATTTCTCATGTCAATTTAATTATTAGACCAACCAGAATAACCTAGAAGGGTAGAAAAAAATGTCTTCCTCCCACACATTGGCATTTCCCTAATGACTAATGATGTTGATCATCTTTTCATGTGCTTATTGGTCATTTGCATATCTTCTTTGGAGAAATTCAAATCCTTTGTCCATTTAAAAATTGAACTATTTTTTAAAAACTGTTGAATTATAAGAGTTCTTTGTATATTCTGGATACTAGTCTCTTATCAGACATATAATTTGCAAATATTTTTTTTCAACCTATGTGTTGTCTTTTCACTTTCTTGATAGAATCTTTTGAAACACAAATTTTAAAAAATTTGAAGTCCAATTTTTCTATGTTTTTTTCTATTGTTGCTCCTGCTTTTGATGTCATATCTAAGAAATTATTGCCCGATCCAAAATCAGTCACAAAGATTTACCCTTACATTTTCTTCTAAGAGTTTTATAAAAAGTTTAGCTCTTACATTTAGGTCTTTGATCCTTTTTTTTTTTTTTATCCTCACCCAAGGACAGTTTTCCATTTTTTGTTCAGATAGAGTGGGAGGGAGAGAGGAAGAGAGAGAGAGAAAAAACATGGACATGAAAGGGACACATCGAGTGGCTGCCACCCGCACGACCAACCAGCGCCAAGGACAAACTACAACCCAGGTACGTGCCCTTAGCAGGAACGGAACCCGGGTCTCTCTGGACTGCAGGCCGATGCTCTAACCGCGGAGCCAAACCGACCAGGGCTGATCCATTTTTATTTAATCTTTGCATATAGCAGGAGGTACCTCAATAATTTTAAGAGTCTAAAGAATTCCTGAGAGTAAAATGTTTGAGAATCAATGATTTACTTCTTTGAGCCTTATTTTCTCATCTTTAAATTGGTGATTGTTATTGACTTACAGGACAGCTGTAAGTCAAAAGTACCTGCCAAGCCCTGGCCAACTGGCAACCGATCGATGTTTCTCTCTCACATTGATCTCTCTCTCTCTCTCTCTCTCTCTCTTAAATCAATAAAATATATCCTTGGGTGAGGATTTTAAAAAAGGAAGAAGAGCCTGGCCAGTGTGGCTAAGTGGTTGAGCGTTGACCCATGTACCAAGAGGTTGCTGGTTTGATTCCTGGTCAGGGCACATGCCCAGGTTGTGGGCCAGATCCCCAGTTGGGGGCATGCAGGAGGCGGCCAATCGATGTTCTCTCTCATTGATGTTTCTATCTCTCTCTCCCTCTCCCTTCCTCTCTCTCTAAAATCAATAAAGAAAAAAATTTTTGTTAATAAAATTAAATTTAAAAATGAAGAAGAAAAAGATACTTAAGTTCTCCCTTTTGTTCTTTCCCTACCACAGCATTTTCCTTGTACCAGAGACATTGCAGATCCTCAGTAAATTTTTTTTTTCACCTACACCTCCCCTAATTTATTGATGAACTGATTTACCCAGAAAAAATTTTGCCTATGTCCTCTGGGAGGTAGAGAAAGAAGCATCCCCCCCTGCTTTTTAAATAAACAACTATTAATTTGTATCAGGTTCATCTTTAGCCTAAAAGGGTTCTAATGCCATAACAACCTCACTCATCAATGTTTCAAATTCTAGGGAAAGCATTCTTGTTATTACTTGACATATGTACAACATTTAATGTCTGTTATTTAATAGCTGTTTATTTGCTCTTTGAAGTTCTAATTAATTGTGACATTTCTTTTTTGTTGTTTTTTTGCATTTTATTTATGTTTTTTATTTTTCAATTACAGTTGACATTCAATATTATTTTTATATCAGTTTCAGTTTTAGAAGCATTTATTTGTTTATTTATTTGGTAGTCATTCCCCAGATACTTTCCCCTGTCAACTTTCTAAGCTTACAGTCACCCCAAGACTTTCAGCCCTTTTTCTCTTGAACTTTTCAGCTAAATCTTCTCCATGTTATGTGTGTAAAATTAATATTTGAACATAAGTATGGGACTTTAAAAGTATCCCTGGTAAATTTTCTTTTCCTTTCTTTCTTTCTTTTTTTAAATTTTTATTTATTGATTTGAGAAAGAGAGAAACATCAATCTGTTGTTGCACTTATTTACACATTCATTGGTTGATTCTTTTTAAAAAAATATGTTTTTATTAATTTTAGAGAGGAAGGGAGAGGGAGAGAGAAACATCAATCAGCTGCCTCCTACACATCCCCTGCTGGGGATTGAGCCTGCAACTCAGGTTTGTGCCCTGACCAGAAATCCAACCAGCAACCTTTTGGTGCACTCAACCAACTGAGCCAAACAGATCAGGATTCATTGGTTGATTCTTATATGTGCCCTGATTGGGGATCACACCCACAACTTTGGCTTATCGGGATCACACTCTAACCAACTAAACTACCCGGCCAGGGCTGTTGAGAGTCTTTTGAATTCCAGTTCTTTCTTCCAAGATATTAAATATCTCTGCTAGCTTTGTTTAATTGAAAATAGGATATACTTACCTGGCAGGTGAGATACCATGATCATGAAGGTGGTTGGTTGTCCCAGGGCAAGACTTATCCATTGCACTCTGGATGTACTGACCCCTGCAATTTCCCCAAATGTGGGAAACTTAACTGCATAATTAGTGGTAATGGGAGACTGTGTTTGCACTATCCCTAAAGACAAAAAAAAAAAAGGATAAACAAACCTTCTCTATCACAGATAAGAGAGTGTCTGGGTCAGAGCCAAGGACCATGGGAAATGTTTTGTTTTGTGCTCAACTGGTCTAAAATGAGACATTTTCTCCTATGAGCATTGTGCAACGAATTGACTAGCACACCTGATATACCAGGACCACTCTAACTTTGTCCTCCAAATAGTTCTCTTATTTATGTCACAGACCAGCCTTAAAATCAGAACCAGTAGAATTGCTAGTGAAAGAGAAAGGAAAAATACAGGTAGTATTTTGTACAAAACAAACAAGCAAACAAAAACCCATAGTTAATAGTATCTGCCTTTTATCCTTGGTGAAAGGAATCCAGAGAGGTCAAAGAGTAACAAAATAGTCTATTACCCAAGTGTTAAAGACTTGGCTAATATGCGTGCCTGCCAAAAGCAGATGAACCGAGGCCATTCCTGCCTTTACAAGGGGAGGACCTAGAGAAAGAAGCAGTAGAAGCTTCATTTAGAATCAAAGGTTTTGGAATCAAGATATTAAGTGGAATGGAAGGAAAAGAAAATACATTAGGAGAAACAATCTGGTTTTGATATTTGTAACTTCAGTAGATAGCCTTTAAGTTGCCTAGGAGGAAGTCATCTACTAATAATGGACTAAAAATGACCCAGAGCTCCTAACAAAATTCTGGCAGAGCAGATTCCAGACTTAAGCAGTATCTCTCTTTCCTCTCTTAGTAACCTGGTTTGGAGGTTGAGGGGTGGTGGTGTGCAGGGGAGGTTGGTGAACTATGAGAAAAGACAATGTTTGGGTAGGTGGAAGCAGTGTCCTAATGAAGTCTGTTCACTTGAAAAGTCTCTTGTAGCCCTGGCCGGTTTTGCTCAGTGGTTAGTGTTAGCCCATGGACCAAAGAGTTGTGGGTTCGATTCCAGTCAAGAGCACATACCTCGATTGTGGTTTGTCCCTGGCACTGGTCGGGATTGTGTGGGAGGCAACCAGTTGATGTGTCCCTCTCAGGTCAGTGTTTCTCTCTCCCACTCCCTCTCTCTCTCCCTCCCTCCCACTCTATCTGAAGATAAATAAAAAAATATCCTAGGGTAAGGATTAAAAAAAATAAAAATATAAAAGTCTCTTGTAGTTTTTTTTGCATTTTGTGGTTATTCTATACCTAAGTTATACTTGTACATAGTTTAAAGAGTCAAATAGTTTTTATAAGGCTTGTTTTGAAAACAGTAGTACCCAATCCACCTCTTGTCACCGGTTTTTGCTCCTTAGAGATAACCATTTTCAACTCTTTTTAGCTGACTCTTTCGGCATTTACCTCTGTATCTCTAAATCACATACTTGTTAGAAAAGACTATGAACAATTATACACCAGCAAATTGGACAAACTAGGTGAAATGGATAAATTCCTAGAATCATAAGTCTTCTAAAACTCAATCAGGAAGAGTCAGAAACCTGAACAGATCAATAACAAGTAAGAAAATTGAAGCAGTAATCAATAAACTCCCACCAAATAAAAGCCCAGTTCAGACAGCTTCACAGGGGATTTTTACCGAACATTTGAAGAAGAACTAACACCTATTCCCCTCAGACTACTCCAAAAATTTCAAGAGGAAGAAAGACTTCCAAGCTCTTTCTATGAGGCCAGCATAATCTTAATTCCAAAACCAGATAAAGACACTACAAAGAAAGAAAATTACAGGCCAATATCCTTGATGAACATAGTCCAAAATCATCAACAAAATATTAGGAAATTGGATCCAGTAATATATTTAAAAATTATTCACCATGACCAAGTGGGATTTATTTCAGGGACACAAAGCTGGTGAAATATTCTTAAATCAATAAATGTGATATACCACATAAACAAAATGAAACATAAAAATCATATGACCACATCAATAGATGCTGAAAAAGCATTTGACAAAATCTAGCACCCATTTCTGATAAAAATGCTCAGCAAAGTGAAAATAGAGGAATCATACCTCAACATAATAAAGGTCATATATAAAAAACCTACAGCCAACATCATACTCAATGGGCAAAAACTAAAAGCATTTTCCTTAAGAACAGGAACAAGACAGGGATGTCCACTTTAACCACTCTTATTGGGAATAGAGGAATCATACCTCAACATAATAAAGGTCATATATAAAAAACCTACAGCCTGCCATCAACAAATCATCAAACAACAAGTGTTGGCGAGGGTGTGGAGAAAAGGGGACTCTAATACACTGCTGGTGGGAATGCAGACTGGTGCAGCCACTATGGAAAACAATATGGTGCTACCTCAAAAAATTAAAAATTGAACTGCCATTTGACCCAGTGATCCCACTTCTAGGAATATACCCTAAGAAGCCTGAAACACCAATTAGGAAGAATATATGTACCCCCATGTTCATAGCAACACTATTTACAATAGCTAAGATCTGGAAACAGCCCAAGTGTCCATCAGTAGACGAATGGATAAAAGAGCAGTGGTACATATACACAATGGAGTACTATGCAGCTGTAAGAAAGAAAGATCTCTTATCCTTTGAGACGACATGGAGGGACCTGAAAAGTATTATCCTAAGTGAAATAAGCCAAGCAGAAAAAGACAAATACCACATGATCTCACTTATATATGGAATATAATGAACATAACAGTCTGAGGAATACGGTAGACCCAGAAACATGGAAGTAGGGCACAGACTGACATCCCTCAGAAGAGGGGGTTGGGGGGAGGAAGGAGCTAAACCACAGAACTTACATGCATGTATGAATGACCAATGGACATGGACAACAAAGCTGGGGATGGGGCGGGGGTGGGGTGGAGAGGGGGGTGCAATGGGTAAAAAAGGAGAAACTTCTGTAACCAAAAAATAAATAAAAAATTTAAAAAAACAAACAAAAAAATTAAAAACCTACAGCCAACATCATACTCAATGGGCAAAAACTAAAAGCATTTTCCTTAAGAACAGGAACAAGACAGGGATGTCCACTTTAACCACTCTTATTCAACACAGTACTGGAAGTATTAGCTGCAAAGATCAGACAAGAAGAAAAAATAAAAAACATCCAAATTGAAAAGGAGGAAGTGAAACTGTCATTATTAGCAGATGACACGATATTGTACATAAAAAACCCTTAAAACTCCATAAAAAAACTAGTAGATTTTCCCTGGCCAGTGTTGTTCAGTGGTTAGAGCATCAGTCCGTGGACCAGAGAGGCCCCAGTTCAGTTCCCGCTAAGGGCATGTACCTCGGTTGCAGTTTGTCCCCAGCCCCAGTTGTGTGGGTGACAACCAGTAAATATGTCTCTCTCACATTGATGTTTCTCTCTCTCTCTTCCTCCTTCTCTCCCTCCCTCTCTCCCTCCCACTCTATCTGGAGATGAATGCAAAAATGTTCTCAGGTGAGGACTAAAAAAAAACCTATTAGATTTAATAAATAAATTTAGTAAAGTAGTAGGATACAAAATTAACACCCAGAAATCAGTGGCATTCTTATACACCAATAATGAACACTCAGAAAGAGAAACTAAAAAAAAAAAAAAAAAAAATTCCATTTACCATTGCAACAAAAAAATTAAGATAACTAGGAATAAGCTTAACCAAGGAGGTAAAAGACCTGTTCTCAGAAAACTACAGGGCATTGAAAAAAAGAAATAGAGGAAGATATAAAAAAAGTGGAAGCATATACCATGTTCATGGTTTGGAAGAATCAACATCATTAAAATGCCCATACTATCCAAAACAATCTATAGATTCAATGCAATTTCTATTAAACTACCAAAGGCATATTTCACAGATATAGAAAAAATACTCCAAAAATTTATATGGAACTAAAATTGACCCTGAATAGCCACAGCAATCTTGAAAATGAAGAACAAAATAGGAGGGATCATAATACTGGATCAAGTTATACTACAAAGCAATTGTAATCAAAATAGCCTGGTACTGGCGCAAGAACAGACATATAGATCAATGGAACAGAACAGAGAACCCAGAAATCAACCCAAGACATTATGTGCAATTAATATTCAACAAAAGAGCCCTGGCCGGTTTGGCTCAGCGGTTAGAGCGTCGGCCTGCGGTCCGGAGAGACCCGGATTCGGTTCCCGCTAAGGGCACGTACTTCGGTTGCAGTTGGTCCCCGGCCCTGGTTGGTCGTGTGGGTGGCAGCCACTCGATGTGTCCCTTCACGTCGATGTTTCTCTCTCTCTCTCCCTTCCTCTCTCTCCCTCCCACTCTATCTGTACAAAAAATAAAAAATAAAAAATAAAAAAATTCAACAAAAGAGGCAAGAGCATACAATGGGGAAAAGATAGTCTCTTCAATAAATGGTGTTGAGAGAATTGGATAGATACATGCAAAAAAATGAAACTAGACCACCAACTTACACCATATACAAGAATAAACTAAATGTAAGTTGTGAAATCATAAAAATCCTAGAAGAAAATGTAGGCAGCAAAATCTCAGACATCACACACAGTAGAATTTTCACTGATATATCACCTAGGGCAAGAGAAACAAAGGAAAAAATTAATAAATGGGACTACATTAAACTATAAAGCTTCTGCACAGCAAAAAAAAAAAAAAACAGTATCAAAAGTAAAAGGGAACCCACTCTTTGGGAGAACATATTTGACAATGATACATTGGATAAGGGGTTAATATAAAAAATATATGAATACTCATATAGCTCAACAAAAATAAGACAAACAATCCAATTAAAAAATGGGCAGAGGACCTAAATAGACACCTCTCCAAACAGAACATACAAATGGCTGAGAGACATATGAAAAAATGCTCAGCATCACTAATCATCAGGGAGATGCAAATTAAAATGACCACGAGGTATAACTTCATACCTGTCAGAATGGCTGCCATTAACAAACTGTCAAATATCAAGTACTGGCAAGGATGTGGAAAAAAGGGGACTCTAGTACACTGCTGGTAGGAATGCAGACTGGTGCAGCCAGTATGGAAGCCAATATGGTGTTCCCTCAAAAAATTAAA